CCCACCAACTAGTGTACAACTCTTCTCTTTCTTAGCACAGAATTTTGCCTACTACTTTGCTGTCCCTTAGCCAAGATTTATGAGGACCTTCTGCAATTCTCTACAGCCAACAGCTGCATGTCACCAGCACATTTACTCAGTCGCAGTGTCCAGGCAGACAGGTCACGGATGGGCTGAACAGCATGGATGAACACAGATGGCTGTTGGATGCTACCTTCTACCACCCTTTCTGTGGAAACTAACCATTTAATCCTTCTCATTGTTTTCTGTATTTCAACTCATCTTTTTTCTACAAGAGGACTTTTATTCTTTAGCCATTAGAGTTTAATTTCTTTAACAGCCTTTGAAAAAAAACAGTGTTGTCAGAACATTCTAGAAAACCAGGAACTTTATATGAACTGGATCACCCTTATTCACCTGCTCACTGACTCCTGCAAATACATCTAGCTGATTTGTGGGGTATGGTTCCAAGCTGATTTGTGGGGCATGCAGAAGTTCTAATGCTTCCCAATCTACTCATGTCTCTCTCCTTATTACTTCTAATTTACCCAAGTAATAACAATTTGATTCACTAAATTTGTATTTTTCCTTTTATTCACTAAATTAACAAATTTGTTCAGTTAATTCGATCCAAAGATGAGTCAATCAGTAGTCTTCCTTCCATTGGCTTCAGTGATATATGAAATATTTTAAAAAGTAGCATTAAAAATGACAGATAATTTGATTTACTTGACTTCTCAAATCTTGAATTTCTTAGTTAAAAAGAAAAATTGTACTAACATTTGTTTTTGCATTTATTGGAAGAAGAGCATTTAGCCAGCAGCTTTTCTTTCACTAGACCATGTAATGCCACAGGCAATTGGTTTAAAATGTATTCTAATTACTGTAACAGATTCTAATCGTGTCTTTAATTCTTAAATCATCCAGTACCCAGAGTGGCTAGATAATTAGGTTATTTGTAGCTGTTGAAAGCAAAAGCCCATTAAACCTTGAAAATTATTCCATTTGTTGTAAAGCACAGAGGTCATTACCGAGAACAGGTGTAGAAAGAAAGTCCAAGCATTTCCACTTCCTAGAAAAATTAAAGTTGAATTTTGAATAGTGTTTAACTGGAATCTATAGAATTGTAAACAGAGCCTATGCCAAAAAAACCCAAACCAAAACAAACAAACAAACAAAAAAAAACAGAAAAAAAAAACAACAGGTAAAGCATGTTTGATTCACAAGTGGGCCTAAGAAACTTGTTGCTCTGCAAAAGGCCAACAGTGCATCATTCTCTCCTTTGAAAATCCTTGAAAGGGCCACAGAAAAGAATTACAGTCATGAATGTTAAACCTTTATATATATCATTCCTGAGTCCTTATTTCTCTCTATTCTTCTGTTAACGCTCTAAGTAATGTAAAGTTTGATCAAGCCCAAATCCTCTTAGCTGAGTTTTCTCTTCTCTTGTAATTTCTCACTCAGCCTACACATCTGTTCACTGCCTTCAGGCAGTCTCTGCTCTCCCCAGCCACTAACAACTTAGATTTATTCAGTACTTTTCATGCAGAAAAAAGTCCAAAGTGGAGCAGGATGAAGCTGGTGAAATATCTCCCATCGCATAACTCACTTAAAATTTTGCCATTGTTTTCGAGGCTTCAAAACCACAGAAATTATGTAGCATGTGAAGCAACATTCTCCAAGGTGCAGGGTGCAAAAAGTTACCTTCAGGTGTACGAAACAAGCCCAGTGCAACTAAGCCCTCTGATAATTTGGCTGTAGGACATTAGGCCTTATGCTGACACAGAGGTTTACACTCCCTTCTCAGGCAGCCAGCAATTTCTCTGCGTGACTTCTTGCTGTCCTACAGAGTGTGAAAGTGTGATAGTTTCGGCAGAACATATACTAAAACTGGAACGATACAGAGAAGATTAGCATGGCCTCTGTGCAAGGATGACACGCAAATTTGTGAAGCGTTCCCTCCCCACCCCCAGGGAATAGGGGAGAGGATTGAGGGGGCAAGGATAAGGAGGCTTGTAGGTTGAGACAAAAACAGTTTAATAACAGAGAGAAAACTTAAAATAATACTAATATTAAAATAGTAGAGATAATAATAACAGTAACAAAATATGCAAGTGAATGACACCCAATGTTATAGCTCACCCCGCTCCTGACCGAGCCCGGCCTGTTCCCAGATAACGATCCCGGAGGAGCGACAATCCCGAACCAAAACCGCAATCATGGAAGAACAAGAGCCCGAGCGAAAGCCAGAGAGAGCTAAAAGAGGAAGAGACCCTCTCTAATATACTGGGCATGACGTGATATGATATGGAATATCCCTTTGGCATATCTAACTGTCAATTAAGTTTATTAATTTAAATATTCTTCTCCCCCCTTAAATCTTGTGCTTGTGGACTAACAGAACACAAAGTCCCTCACTTCCAGTGACAAAAATGTAAACATTGGTATGTTATCAATGTCTCTCTCACAGCGAGTCCCAGGCTGAAAGCAAAACACAGCACAATTCTAGCTACTGAAAAAGAAACCCAGCTCTGCCGCTCTTCTAATTCCTAAAAAGAAAACCAGCTCTATTTCAGCTAAAAACCAGGACAGAAGGGCCAGGGAAGCAGCTGGGACTTGAAGAGTACAACTACCAGTGTCTCTGGATTGCGGTTTGTTGAAACCTTTGGCCTCCTTCAGCTCACTCCTCCTTCTGCCAAGGACAGCCTTCATTCAAAAGTCCCTTTACTGTTTTCAAAAGGCACAAATAGTCAAGGGGCCGCAGGTTGTGAATCTCTGTACCTGATCCACCACATCCTCCACTTCTTCCAGGTGACATAATTTGCCAGTTCATTCAAGGCTAATTTAGGGATGGCTTGGCATAGGAAAAGACCACTTATTATAACATGGACTATACTGCCAAAATACATAAAAATTGCAAATAATTACACACAGCACTGTACTCTAACAATATAGATTTAAAGCTGATCACCTAAGTTTGGAAGTGCTGGAGCTGAACTTGAAATATCTGCTACACTACTCTCTTTACCATATAGTCATTCACTTCACTTCCATCTCTTTCTTTTGAAAACTTGGCTATGCATTCTTAGCAGTATTTATAATCATTTCCTTAGTTAACATTTCCTTTTTTTTTTTTTAAATCATACTCATGAACTCATCTCCAGAGAGTGAACATACTGTTTGCTCTTTCTAGCTGGAGGATCTCAAGGGCAAACATTAAAGTTTTTGTGTTTGGACAGTCCCCTGGCACCTTTCCCATTTGTGGATATAGATGTCAACATAAAAATAAAATGCCATCAAGATGTTGTCAATAATTATAACAGAGAAATTTGCATTAACTATAATGAAGGGCCATGGCACAAAATTTCATAAATTAAGTATTAGAGCTTCATTGCCATTTCACAGAAATAGGATTGTCATTGTATTATTTATAGAGACACAATGTATGAGGCTCTGTAGTCAGCAGCAGTTATGCCAGTAGAAAGTTCATTGCCATACTAATGACCCCACCAGCAGTGACAATTAATGAGTAAATAAACAATTCATATGTAGGTTGTTCGAGATAAGTTAACATTCAGTGCTGTGATACACATTTCTGAGTTGGCCAGCATGTACATTCTGGTTATGAGACTTTACTTAAAATGGTTCTGAGAAAAAGACATAAATATTGTATTTGTCCTCATTGATGTAAATTGTTCCCGTATTTCCCATGTAACAGAATCCTTTGCTTGATTTGTTCTTCCCAGAAGAATGAGCACCAGACCAACAGCTTATCGCACATATCCCTCTCCCATAAATGTGCAGGTTAAAAAAGCTTGCATTTTGAACTTGTATACTTTTTTTCATTATCTGTCAAGGAGGTGTTGCTAATCTTATACTTTTCTTTATGAAAAAATGCCCAAAGGAATGGTAAAAATTGAACTGCTTTCTAAATTTTTCAAATTTTCAAACACAGGGATAAAGAAACAACATACAAATTCATAGGGCCACATTTCCAAACCAGAGACAATGAACAAGCCAGCATACTTCTGGATGGGAAAGCATACATTATATCAGTACATAGGTATTGTCATATGAAGAATAATTATTATGTAGACATTTACCATTTTCCTTGCTTAATTACTTGATTATCAGGAGGAGGTAAAGGTTTTTGCATATGAAAAAGGTACACACCCATTTTCTGAGCTCCTCTTTTGCAAAAAACTTTCTGCTTTATGGGTGAAAAAAGGAAAGAGGAGTGGTCTCAACATTAATGTGTGTCTTTTCTTCCTGCTTTGATTTTCTTTTTAAGGGCAAGTTTTAATTGATAGAGCTGTATTTTTAATAGCAGAACTATGTGAGCCTGGTTAGTCAAAGTACTGATTACAGAATTTGTTCAGTCTTTTTTTAAAAAAGAAACAAACTTAACCAAAAAACACTTGTCTGCTTTGAACACCATAAGTACCATGTTCTTCTTCCTCTTGAAGCTACCAGCAAAAAAGTATTAAGTTCAATTGGAGCAGGTTGGTCCTATTAACAGGTTTTTTTGAATCAGTAAGTAACTGTTCCTGGTTGGCAATATGACCTGTAATCAGCCAATCTCTCTTTGTAGGATACTTTAGAGTAAATGGAATGTTTTAAGAAAAAAGGCAGTAACAGTATAGTGTCTATTATAACTTATTCCTCCTTCTCTGAAAGGCTGTATTTTTAGCCAGCTGTGTACTCAGTGCAGCATGCAATACATGCAAGAATCCAGAATGGATTTCCCATCCAGAAGTGGAATGATACACTTAGGTGCCACCACAGGATACCCTTTTCTGCAGAATGTGCTATGTGAGGCGTTGTAAAATACAGAAAGGACATGTTCAAAGGCCTGCTCTCATCTTTTTCCAGTAGATCTCTACAACAGTACCTGCTCAAAAGCAGTTCCTATATTGACCAAGAAATTACTTGAGCATCTCTAATCAGAGGAGCTGGGATTTCTGCATAGTAGAAGCCACATGCAATATAAATGAGCAGAAAAGAAGTGCACAAGGAATCATGTTGGGATTTATAAACTCTGTCATCTGTACACTATAATTGCATTTAATTGCCTTATAAATTAAAAATAAAGTTGTTAAAGTAGCACTGTATTGCATGAAAGAAAACATCAAGAACAAAGACATTTTCAGTCATTTTTAAATTATACAGAACAATTTCACAGCTTCTTTTATGTGTTTTAAAAACTGAAATTTTATTTAAGCCAGATTTTGCCTTTTATAATGTTAAGAAAGCGAAATGTATCACAGAATTCTGCTTTAAAATGAAATGCTTACATTTACCCCAATTAGCAGGAACATTGCAAATTATCACACAGTCAGGCTGCAATTAACTTTCCCCATGCATTTCCTGGCCCATGCCATTGGCACCATTTCTAAGCAGAAGCCCAGTTAAAAAAAGTCAGGGATTTGGTCAGAGCTGAGACAACATATTCCTAATTATCTACAACAAATCTAGAAATACCTGTGAGCTGATTTTTCCTATGATGTCCTCCCGAGTTATTGATGGAAAAGAGCCTGTCAAACTCCTATGACATCCTGAAAGCAGGATGAGGCATTGCGATAAAGGCTCTCTTTTCCAGCTGATCAAAATTGGAGCTGTGGATTTCATAGTATTCAGCCCTGCATTTATGTTGCAAATAAATCACACCCACGGGGAAGACCAGTTTCCTCTCAGCAGAACATAACCCTTATTATGATTTTGTATTTGGCCTGATCTTTAAAATGTCAATTTGACCACTGTTGCCAGGATCATAGGCTGAGCTGAGCTGTGGGTATCCCAAGACAAATACTGTGTAGTTTTAGGTCTCAGGTGCACTGCGTGAGCAGCGTAACTTTCTCCTTACAAGTATGTGACCAAAAGTTTTAGACTGAATGTTCCCAGGGTAAAACAAGCCTTGCCTTGCACACCGCTGCAGGACGTGAGGAGGTCCCTCCAGCATTCAGAGTAGCCATTTCTTGTTGCAAGGGCAATTAATGTATTTATTTTTCATTTTCAAGGTGGTTTGTGACATTTAGCAGAAAGATAAGCCATGGGATTATGCTATAACACTTATGTAGAAACCTGCAGATGGTAAATATGGGCAGATATGATCTATCATTTTTTCATCACTTCTTCAACACTGCTATCTTCTAAACGTGATCAGGGCACTGACTGATCTGATGAAAGAGTAGTTCGGTTCAATCAGGGTGAAGGGCATTATCCACTGGGTGGGCAGCAAAGCATAAAGCACAGGATCTGGAATCATGATGTTCAGACCAGTGCAAAAAATCCCACCTTAAACAATTTATCTGATAGTTATATTCAGTCTCTTGTTAAACTACATAACACTGCTGGAGAAATCTCAGAGACATACCAACAGAAATCTCTGTTCAGTTCAGTGGAGGATTAAGGCAGAGTTAAGCAAATTACCAGCATTCAACAAATCATAGCAGAGGATCTTGTCACCTAGACTGCTCTAGGACCCATCACATTAGTTGCTTACGATAGTGGAATATCTAAGATCTTTCCATAATTTCTAGCTTACTGCTACTATTATTTTTTTTAAGCGTTACTGTGTATGAAGCATGTATAGGATATAATAAGTTCTCTTTGAGGAGCCTTCAGCAGCTTCACAACTACAAAGACAGACTGACAGAATGTATGATCTGGGAAAATCCCTATACAAATGTATGGTATTTCTTTCTTTCTCAAGGCATAATTATCCCCACATCTATTCTCTTAGGGGCCTGAACAGTGAACACTAGGAAACCACCTGATATGGAAGACAAAAAGGCCTTCTGCTAAACAAGAGTGATATCACAAGTGGTTGGAGTTGATCCCTCTCCGAGGCTCTTTTCCCTTTTAAATTAATATATTTACCTAAGCTAGTGACAACCATGAATTTGTACCTTTTTTCGAGTAGAAATTAAACCACTGCTACAGGGAACTTAAAAATATCAATGCAACT